GCCCCAGCAGCTTGGCGAATGTGGGTAGGGTGGCCTTTACCCCTTCATTATAGCCGGCGGCGAAGGTGCTGTCGCCGACCTCATATAGGAACTTGCGAGACAGGGGAGAGCCCTCAAGGATCCGGACGCCGCGGGCCAGGCGCTGGCGGGGCGGAATCTTCTCCAGAGCTGCGGCGAACAAATCGGCGAAAACCCCGGCGCAGTAGTCCTTGGCAGAGTCCATGAACTCCCCAGTGTTCCGGTAGCCGGAGGTGTCAACCAACCACTCCGGAGTGGCATCCTTGGCGGCAGGGAGCACCGGAACAAGCTTAAAACCGGCTCTTTCAAGGCCGGCCATCTGGCTGTGGGACTCAGCCTGCAGAGCGGCAATCTCCCTCCCTTTGGCTGCGGCCTCCGCCTCAGCTCGACGGGCGGCCTCCCGTGCCTCGGCAACGGCCGCATCAGCTTTAGCCTTGGCCTCCTTCAGGTCGGCCTCCCGGGCAGCTTCAGCTTGAAGGACAAGGAGCCCAGACTGGATGACAGAAGAAAAAAAGAAATTTAAGGATCAAAGGATGAACGTCAAGGAAAACATATATATGCTCAGATCTAGCAAGGAGGAATTACCTGAAGAGCGGCTGCCAGCGCAGCGCTTGTAGCCTCGGACGACGAACGGCGGGGCAGCTCGAGACCGGCCTTGAGGGCCATCTCCCTCCAAAGTTCTTCCGCCGGGCGGCTCAAAGGCAGGGACCCGGCATCTTCAAGAAGGGGGCCAGTGGAGCCTGCCTCGCGGCCCCGCTTCTGTTTCTTCTCAGGGACCCTCTCTGTCCCCTTCTGAGGAGCCGTCTTCGTGGGGACGACCGGCGGCGGAAGGGCGGCTTCGAGAGCAGGGGCCCCGGAACCCTGGGCCAGCATGGTGGCAATTAAATGTTGCTCACCCTCGGCGGTTCGCCTGGCAGCATCAGAGGCCGAGGAGTTGGACTCCGAGGCGGGGGGCGTTTTTGGCTTTCGCCATCGCAGCTTTAGCCGCGGCCGCCTTGGCTTTCCTGGTCTTCAGACACTCGGCGTGATTCATTTGGTCTCTATCGGGCGGTGGACCTGCAAGAAACAACAAGTATTAGAAGCCGAGCGGGAAGTAGAATAAGACACTCACCTCGAAGGACAGGACCGCCCGGGCCCCGAGACGAGCGTCGGAGGGTAGAAAAAGTCCAGGAACACGGGCGGTACCTATGCCTGCCCCAGAGAGTGCCTCGAAGGTCAGAAATCCGGCTATGGGACGGACGCCACCCTCCAACACCTTCTCCGCATCCAAAAGCAGATCGTCGGTCGGCTCCGATGACTCAATCTTTGGGGGATACCCATTCCACCGGATAGGGAGAGGAGGCCCGTCGTATCGAAGGAAGAAGAAGCGGTTCTTCCAGTCGTGGATGGACGAGGGGTAGTTCTTGAACAGCCGCCTCCCAGGACGTGCGGCCACGCTCAGATACCCGTCGGCATTCTGAGGAGTGACGCGGTAGAAATAATGGAAGAGCTCCAAAGTGGCGTCGACCCCCGCAAGTTTGCAGCGCACCAAGAAGGCCGATATGAATCGGTAAGAATTTGGCATGAATTGCGCCGGAGCCACCTGGAAGCAGTGGAAGAACTCCACATAAAACGCATGAAGTGGAAACCGCAGCCCGGCTTCAACGGAATCCAGGTGGAGCATGATCATCCCCGGACGTCTCCTCATCACATGCTCAGCGCCTCTCACGCTCCAGACGAACGGCGGAGGAAGGAAGGTGCGGATTTTATTGAGGGCCACACGGGAGAGGACTTGGTCGTGGTCAAGGGCGCTCCTAATCGGGCAGATGTGACGCTCCATATCCGTGGGGATACCCAGATCATACACCTCCATATCAGAACCGGATTCGGCTTCCTCTCCAGAATCATAATCAGCAGGACGCTCATTCAGGGGGACTGCATCAATAACATCCACTGCCCCATCGGCGTTCCCGTCCCCGGCGTCGCTCCCACTATCTTGAGGCACATCATCCGGCTCGCCATCAGCCCGGATGGTCCCCACCGTCGTGGCCGAACCAGAGGTTCCGGAAACACTAGTTTTTCCCAGGGAGCGTGCATTAGCATTTTCAGAAGAGGAGCCCGAGGAGGAACCCGACGAACCGGAATCAGAACTTGAGGAAATCTCCATCGAAGTCATTCCGGCTAGAAATCAGAGTAAAGGAAAGAAGCAGAGGGGGGAAATTACCTTACAAAGGTATGGTTGGCCGGATTCAGGAAACTTGAAGAGCTGCGGAAAATCGAGAGCAAAAGAGCAGAAATTGGGAACCCTAATTCAGAGGGCAAACCCAGCATTTATAGGGGGAACACCGATGGAGGAACCAACGAGGGGCTGACACGTGGCAAGGAGCGTATTCCGGCCCACGCGCTGTGCGTGGGATGGGAACGTAATGATGACACTTCCTCGGGAAAATGCGCCGCCGCAACATCAGCCGTCACCTCGTTTCCTGAACCGTCAACAGCTGTCAAGCATCATGGCCACGAGCGTACGTTTCCACCAAGATGCCAATGAACACAAGTACCAAGATACGGACGTCTACTTCGGGGAGGTTCATACTTCCTTATGTCCTGCGCATGCTCAGAACATCAGAAGTGGGGGACTTGTGTTGGGTTAAGGGCCCAAGCCGAGGTCCGGCCCACTAACCCATTTTGCCAGACGAGCGTCCAGCTAGGAACTAGGCCAGCCCACAGGCCCACGTTCTTTAAGAATGGACGAACGTCTGGTGTTGGAGGACTCAGGCCCAGCAGCTCATTCCGACGAACGTCTATGCAGGGACAAGGAGCAGAGCCACGGGCCACCAGGGATGGCGACGAACGTCCCCAGAGCAAGCCTGTAGTCATCGGAGAAAACCCAGTGCACATGGTGAGTATCTATCAAGGCCAGGAGACGAACAGCCAATACCCCTCAAGGGTCACTTGGAGCAATCCAACTCAATTCCCGGGTGGACGGACGTCCCCACCGATCCGGCGGGAAACCTAGATTCTGGCGGGAAGTGCATTTAATGCTAAAGATTTGGTAGTTGGGACACCAGCGGTCCACAGGCTGCCACGTCAGTACAGCCACCTGCCCATTGGCGGGTATAAATAGAAGCATTTATTTCATTGAAAAGGGTTGGCAACTTTCTATTCTTAGCATACTAGCTTCAGCATTCTTTCTTGTAGCATTTTCTAGCTGCCTTGTAAGACGAACGGCCGACGTGCCCTTGTAGCAAGTAGATTGTACTTAGGGGAGTTATTACGAAGTTAATAATACCTATTTACATTGCCTGCTATTACTCTTGGTTCCTGATCCATCGGATAGTTGTTGGGCTAGATATTCATACACTTACTCCACTCGAAATCTTTGGGCTTACGTGTTGGGCCTGAAGGTTGAAGGAATAAACCTCAACAATAATTATAAATTAATGTCTCATAGTAAATATTTCCTAAATTTATAATTTAGTAAAATATACATTTACCGGTCGTTCATTGGTGTCATACGAAAGATTATAACAAATTATTTAATTTGATATATTATGTCTAAAATCAGGAACACAATTAAAAAAGTTATCACATCTTATAAAAATAATAATTGCTTGCCACACGGTTTAAAACTATTGGATAAAAATCAATTTTGCAAATGGTTAACAATTTAACGTTAGTCCGTGACAATTTTAGCCTTCAGAGGAAATCATAATTTGAAAAATCAGAATGATTTTCGGGTATTAGATTTGAAATCGAATGGCTCCAAAAGTACCAACCGTGCAAAAGATTGGGTTAAAGCGTGGCGGCATTCTTTTGAAAAGTGAATGTTTTCATTACCGTGAAAAAGTGAAGTATTTTAATTTAAATGTGCAATGTAGCAAAGTAGAAGTAAAATACGTGCTTTTTTAATCCAAAAGCTGAGAAGAGTTTCTTGATTTTGGTGGTGTTTGGTTAAATAAGTGTTTTTTTAACCCAAAAGCTTAGAAGTCCTTTTTTTAAAGCATTTACAAACCAAACCCTTAGTTTTCCTTCAAACAAAGGTTGCCTAAAAACCTATGTTTAAATAACCAACCCGACCCGGCCGGGTTGACCCGGAACCCGGTGACCCGGACAAAAAACCGGTTCGGTTTTTTCAAAACCCGAAAATGGTCAAAAACCGGAAAAACTCAGCTGACCCGGGAAAACCCGGTCAAGACCCGGACCCAAGAAACCCGAAAAACCCGGTAAAACCCAGTTTTTGGGTGTTTTTACCAAAAAAGTAATTTCTTTTTTATTTTTAATGCATTTTTTATACCAATAAAATTGCAATTTCAATACCTTAAAAAGAAAAACTACGTAATATATTTATATATTTATTTAAGAATGAACATCATGCCAAATTATAATACAGATGTACAATAAAAATAAAAATATCATTATATATTTTTATAAGATCAAAATATACATTGAAATATTATATGAGTGTATTAAATGCTTAATAAGTAGTATTGTTAGTTGATTATTATGAATAATAACTAATTTTTATTATATTTTTATATATAATTATATGTTTACTATTATTATATAGACGTATAATCATTGACCGGTTTTCCGGCGTTGACCGGGTTGACCCACCGGGTCCGGGTTGACCCGTGACCCAGTCATGTGGCCGGGACGCCGGGTCACTCTCTGGTCCGGTTTTTACAACATAGCTAAAAACTTAATAACTCGATATCTTTCTTTAACATAATTTTTAAGAATTTAACTACTAGACAACTTTCTTTTATATATACTTCAAACAAAGATTGCAGTTATGTACACAGTTATGTTCATGTTAAACACATAAATATTGCTTATGATGTATTCATATTATTGAAGTATAAATGCATTCAAAATAGTGTAAAAAAGGTAGCTGCACAGTGCACACTAATGGGACTATGGCCTATGGGAGGACTATAAAGTATAAATGGCAAAAAAACATCTACTGGTAATCTGGTATTACGGTATCAATGTTTCTCTTCTTGGAATTATTCAATTTTGGAGTAGCAATGAGCAGCCTTCCCAGTACAAACAAATATTCGAGTTTAATAGTGCATTATCTCAAGTACAACAAAAAAGAATGACAAAAAAGCAACACCGTTTATTCATTATTGATCACATATTCTGATGACTCGTGAACAACTAATGTATGTAACATGAAGTCTTGATTTTGGTGTGCTTCACTCTTATAGATTCAACTTTGTAGAGCTACAGAACATACACTATGAGTATAACAAAAAAGAATGACAAAAAAAGCAACACCATTTATTCATTATTGATCACAACATATTCTGATGACTCGTGAACAACTATGTATGTAACATGAAGTCTTGATTTTGGTGTGTTTCACTCTTATAGATTCAACTCTGTAGAGCTACAGAACATACATTATGAGTATAAACAACAAAGGTGATGTTTGTTTCTTGGCGTTTCATGCTCAAAGATATTCTTGCATTTTCTTTGTTAAAAGAATGGCGTTTTGCCCCCAATACGCCACTAACCAAACACAGCCAAAAAATGGGATTCATTGATGACCTCGGCCGCCACATTCTAAGCACATTATGTTTCCACTCCCACCACAACCTGCTTCACAAGAAAACAGTGAGAAACTGAACATCTCATTCAATAGTCAACACGCTTTTGTTTATTTAGGATGTTTTTAATTGGACTAGACTAGACCAGGCCAGCTGTCGAGTGTCGACAATTGTAAAATACATATAGAACAAACATCTACCAGATCACCCCAAATCAGACTCAAACAAACCAGACTAGGCCAGAATACTACAGTCCAATTAAAAACATTTTTAACGTGTTTTCAAATTTTATGACAAAGAACACACGATCCATAATGACAATTGTTATGGTATGGGGTGAAATACCCGCAATCCGTACAAGTGATGCAAGTAGGGGCTGGGGGTAATGCCACGAGGGGTTGTCCCAAATTTGGACAAGTAATCCTGGGTAAAGAGAGACATTACGAGCCCATTTGACAAGGGTTATTAGGTGAAGGCTTGAATCTGCTGAATTTAATTCTCGAAGGGAAGCGTTTCAAAATTTCACTTTCAGCCAGATAGGTAGTCAAAGAGTATCTATTATAGTGATAAACAATGAACCATATCTAGCATAAATACGAATGATCAAAAAATTAATCTGCCATTCAGTAACAATAACAAGAAATGATTCATTGGTTTTGCCTGTAAATATTTTTTCGAGGGGGTGGGAGTGTGGGACAGTAAGACAACAATGAATGATTTCTAGCATACTTATTCACACACAAACGTCCCATTTAAATGTATTTGCAATCTGTCCACCATCTTACAGTGTAAAAATAATATGGAAGAAGTGGTGAAAGAAAAATTCACCTAAGCATCGAACTTTAACAATAATTCCTTGACATTCCATAATAGAGTCGACATATAAGCCCGAACCAGAGCACGTTTTGCATAGTACTGCGCCTGATGCTTTACAACCACCACAAGGAGGTTTATTTCCGATATTTTTCTCAACCAAAGACAGCCCAAGAGGTTTCTCTATAACTTCCTCAGGCACAGACTTGTCATAGCAAAAAAGAGATTCAAGACTGCTTATTCTCTTATTCCTGCTACCTACTTCATTTGAAACTGCCTGCACACATAAAAAAAGCAACATGTAAAGCTGTTTCACATTTTATTTAAGCATTTGCAAAAACTTTACATTGGTGTACTTCATTTTAGTAGCAAATGATTATATTCCTAGGCAATCAATCATTGATGTGGATATTGTGTTTCTCAGTGTAATGAATGCTCTATTTCCTAATATTACTCTGACATAATTAGCAGAAACTTCTGTCAATGGCACGATTTCAGCTCACAGGTTGAGAAAAGTAAATTCCATGTCAAGGAGTAGTCATCAAGCTCCAGAAGAATCGAGGACACAAAGAGGCCTGTTACGGCTTGAAGAGGAAGGAGACCAATCTGCATTGAGGAGACAGCCCCAAGCAAGCAAGGTGAAGCAGAATCAGGAGCTCTAACTCATTTTACCTTGGGGACAAAAACAAGCTCCTAGTGTGCAATGTGCGGAGCTGCTCGAGGAAAGGCAGGGTATTGTGGCTGAAGAAGGAACTAGATAAGATTTTTGTGCACATGCCTTCACCTAGGAAAACGACTTTAGTAGGCCTCTTACAGCCTTTCCTGCTTCAAGCTAAGGGGTGCTGGCACTTGAGCAATCCTACCGCCATTTGAGATACGTACTTATTTTCAATCTTGAGAAGGAAAACACAGACTCCGTAATTGTCAGAAGGTCTTAGATGCCATTTAAGCATTTCTAATGCAAGATGCCTTCCCTCCAATATGCTGGTGCCTGGTGCAGTTCTAGTATATCACCAAGCCAGGTCAATAAATTATACTGAGTAGCATCATACACGAAATTTTTTAGGGTGAAATTCTACGAACCTGAATTCAATTTCCTTTATGTTATCCACTGATATTACGCTTTCTTACAAAAACAGAGCTTATAGTAAAACTACATAAACTGTAATGCAAATGTCAAACACTGCTACTCTTACGAGTTGCAACCATTGCATACAATATCATAGCTCAATCACACAAAGATAGTTGACAGCAGGAATGCAAAAAAGGAGGAGGAGGAGACGAAGCAAACCGCTTACACGGATCTGAGAGTGAAATCTACGTGAAACGACACCGTTAGCCTGATTGGTTGCAATTTGATTGAAAGAACAGAAGATTGAGGTAGTGTTTCCAACAAGCATGTTGTGAGCTGAAGTGAATTTGGGGGAAGCGGTTGAGGACGACAAAGAGCTCAGGGCACATCCGCAATCCATTGGGGCGGCGATCGATTTCTTTGAGCAATCTGGGGAGTGGCCTTTTCCTTGGCTTCTTGTTTCTAACGTCTTCTGGAATGAGAAGGGGTTATTCGACCCTTATCCAAAAACAGTTCGGTGGATTTTCAGGCTTCATTTGGGGAGTGTTTCGATCTGATTCTCAAAACTGATTCTGCTCCTTCAGGGAGCAGAAGCAGAAGCTGGAGTGTTTGGGTGAAATTCCAGAAGCACTTCTGGAGCTCTAATTTACTCTCAGAATCAGTTTTTTTAGAAGCTGGGGATACCAGCTTCTGAAAACTGATTCTGATTCTGCTTCTGCTTTTAAAAGAGAAGCAGAAGCAGAATCACTTCCAAACACCCCCTTACTTTACTTTAGGCCTGTGGATAGAAGGTGCGTTTGTTTTATGCTTATTATTACTATAATACGTATTACTCCGTATTTTATTATTTTATTCGGATCACATCAAAATTGTACAAATTTCAATTAGATCGGGAAATTCAGATCAGGTCAATTAGAAAGATTCAAATGCATCAGATCAGAAACATTCAGATCAGCTAAAAAAGTTCAGACATGATTTATCGATTTTTTATTATAATAATAGTGTTGGGTAAATGGCCCCGAACAGGAGTCCGGCCCAATTACCCCCAAACCGACGTACGTCGCCCAGCCCGCGGATGGCCCTGGCCTGAAGGAATGGGGACGAATGTCTATCTCCGGGGTAACAGCACAAGGTCCCGGCCGAGGGTCGGTTAGCACATCCGTGACGAACGTCGTCAGCCGAGGCCCATCTCCGTAGATGGCCCAGGCCCCAAAAGATTGTTACGTTCTCAGGAAGGGCCGCAGACGAACGGCCCCCGGTTCTACCAGACGATCGTGGTCAGGAATTAGGCGGGGAACCCAGATTCTGGCGGGAAGCGCATTTAATGCTGGAGATTTGGTGGTTGGGCCACAGCCACTAACAATCCTCCACATCATCAAGACTAACTGCCCATTGGCGGGTATAAATAGTAGCATTTATTTCATTGTAAGGTTGTTGGCAACTTTCTACTCTTAGCATACTAGCTTCAGCATTCTTACTTGCAGCATTTCTAAGTGCCTTGTAAGACGAACGGCCGACGTGCCTTTTTAGCAAGTAGATTGTACTTAGGGGAGTTATTACGAAGTTAATAATACCTATTTACATTGCCTGCTATTACTTTTGTTTTCCTGATCCATCTGATAGTTGTTGGGCTAGATATCCACACACTCACTCCGCTCGAAATCTTTGGGCTTACGTGTTGGGTCCAAGGGTTGAAGGAATAAACCTCAACACTGGCGCCGTCTGTGGGAAACTGAGCAAAAAGTTTCCAGAAACTCTCCCAAACAGCTACTAAGTCTACCTACAGCAAACACGATGTCAGGAAGCAACAACCAGCGTGATCTCTCCGAGCGTCTGGAATCAAGCCGCCGGAATCGCGGCCAGAACTCGGAACTATCCGCAACAATATGGACCTCCGGGGGAAACGGGGGTATCACTGACCTCATTCCTCTGGAGGCCAGGCAGGATCCTCGCCTCATGCGGGAACTCGCAGACACCATGCGTCGCTTGGCAGACGAGCGGGAGGCCCGAGACCAGGTGTACTCTGCAAGTACCCAGCGAACGCCCCTCTCTCCCATACGCCGCATGCAGTCGTATGACGATACGACAGGATCCAGCGACCACCGGCCCTCAGTCCACGAGCGGCTAGGTGGGGGTTCAGGCTCCCGTGGAACGGGAGGGCGAACCAGAGTCAGCATCGCTGCATCCAGGGCTCGCACACCATCAGTCCCCCGCCAAATCCCGCGGGGAGACGAGACCCCGAGGATCAACACCGTTGGACGACGTTTCCAACGGCGAGGTGCGCAGATCTTTAGGCGGCCGCACGATGCTGTGGCCGCTCAGCAGAATGCCGTCCCCGAAGCCGCGCCCCCTGTGTCCCCCGGAAGGGCCGCACAGGATGCAAGGTTGGAGGCCATGGAAAGGCAGATAGCCGAGATGAATAGGCGGGCGGACGTTGGCTCGGCCACACCCTCTTTCTCTCTCACATCTCCCTTTACTCCACGGGTGATGAGCGTCGAGATTCCCCGGGACTGCAGGCCCCCGGGGCAACTTGGTGTACAATGGGGCTGGCGATCCCAAGGCCCATCTGATAAGCTACCAAGGGAACCTGTCCATGCTGGGAGCATCAGACGAGGCCATCTGCAGATTATTCTTCAGCACCCTCAGGGGGCCGGCGCAAGAATGGTTCGGCCAGTTGAGGCCAGGCACCATCGACTCATACGAACAGCTCTCCCAGCAGTTCATGGCGCAGTTTGCTGCCAGCACCACCCCCAGGAAGGACGTCACGGCTCTCGCCCACATCAAACAAGGGCGGGACGAACCGCTGGCTAGGTTCCTGGTAAGGTGGAGGGACGAGGTCCTACAGGTCGACGATCTGGACGAACGTCTGGCCACCAACATGTTCACCAGTGCGCTGGCCACAGGGGATCTATACCGGGACCTAAGGAGGAATCCCGGCACCAGCTACACCGAGGTTCTTGCTCGGGCCCAGAAGTATGCCTCCATTGAGGAAGAGATCAGGCAGCGGGACGGAGTTCCCGCGGCCCACCCACGGAAGATGGCGGACAGGCTCGGGCCCGGACCGGGACCCGGGCCCTCCCCCCCAAACAAAAAGAAGAGGACGGACGGGGCGATGGTCCCCTGGAAGGCTCCGTCCGGGGATACTCAAGCACGGCCGGACGACCGCTATGTCCCATTGGCCTATCCAGTGAGCCAAATCTTTGAGGCCATCAAGGACAAGGGCCTCCTAACGGAACCCCAGGATATGAATAAGCATATGGGGCACGATCAATCGGCCTACTGTGAATACCATCAGAGGACCGGCCACCTGACGGATAATTGCAGCCAATTAAAGAAAGCGATCGACGAGCTGATCCGCCAGGGGTACCTGGGCGAGTTCACCCAGCTGCTGAACAAAAACAGCCAGCAGAAGCCGAACTCAAGGCACAAGACATGGCGCCGCGACGATCGGCGCGAGGCAGAACCTCAGGACGTGGATTATCGAAGTGCAGATAAACGCCCGGAGGGATCCCTCGGCCCGAAGGGCAAGAAGAAGAAATTGGAGATCAAGGTGATCTTCGGGGGCGCTGAGACAGGGGATACACCCGCCGAGCGGAAAAAATTTGAGAGGTCACTCTATGTGGGTTCCGTATCAGCACCCCCCACCAAGCGCAATAAAGTCGAGGCAATTACCTTCGGCCCCGCTGACCTGCCAATGTCACCGGCGCCGCACAGAGACGAGCTGGTGATCAGCATGGACGTGAACGATGCTATCGTCCGTCGCGTCCTCGTTGATACCGGGAGCAGTGTGAACGTCCTCTACTGGGAGGCTTTCGAAGGAATGAGGCTCCGGAAGGACATGCTGCACCCCCTACGCACCCCGCTGTCCGGCTTCACCGGGGATTGCATTGACGCTGAGGGCACCATCATTTTACCGGTAGAGGTCGGCGACGGCCCTCACACTGCCCGGATCAGCATGACGTTCGTCGTGGTCCGCCTAAAGTGCGCCCACAACGCCATTTTGGGCCGACCCGGCTTGGAAGACTTGGGGGCCATATGCTCCGTACGACATTCATGCATCAAATTCCCCACCGACACCGGAGTGGGGGTGGCACGTACGGACCCACATATGGCCAGGGCCTGCTACACGAAGGCCATGGAGAAGCTCAACGAGCGGGAGGCTCGGGTCAACAGCATCTCCGAAAAGGCCAAACAGGCCGACTTGGACGCTCATCTGGAACCAGCAACTCTGCTGGAGGAAATTGAACTCGACGATCCGACGGACAGGAAGGTGTCCATTGGTGCGGATCTAGAGCCGGAAATCAGGGCAGAGGTCATAGCCGTCCTCCGGAGGTTCAGGATCTTGTTCGCCAGAGGGCCGGAGGACATGCCGGGCATCGACCCCAACCTCATATGCCATAAACTCGCCGTGCGGCCGGAGGCCAAGCCTATACAACAGAAGAAGAGGTATATGGCGGCCGACCGACGCGATTTCATCAGGAAGGAAACAGCAACTCTCCTCAGCATCAAACATATCCGGCCAGTCATCCACGTGGAGTGGTTGGCCAACGTGGTACTAGCCCCAAAGGGCGACACTTGGCGGATGTGCGTCGATTACTCGGACCTCAACAAAGCTTGTCCGATGGACCCTTACCCTGTCCCGAGGATCGACTTGTTGGTGGATGAGACAGCAGGTTGCGAGCTGCTCAGCTTCATGGACGCATTCAGGGGCTACCATCAGGTGTTCATGCACCCCGATGATGCCGAAAAAACGGCGTTCGTTACGGCGGACGGCGTGTATTGCTACATCGTCATGCCTTTCGGCCTGAGGAACGCCATGGCTACTTTTCAGAGGATGATTGGGATGTTGTTCAAGGACGTACTTGGGAAGACAATGGAAGCTTACGTGGATGACATCCTGATCAAAAGCAAGAATAAGGAGGACCATGTCCAGGACATGGAGAGGGTCTTCAGCATCATGGAGAAGGCCAGCATGAGGCTCAATCCGAAGAAATGTGCCTTCGCCGTCAGGGGCGGCAAGTTCCTCGGCTACATGATGAGCGAGCGAGGGATCGAGCCTAACCCGGAGAAGGTGAAGGCGATTATGGACATGGAGGCCCCAAGGAACCTAAAGGACGTGCAGCGGCTCACCGGGCGTCTGGCGGCCCTGAGCAGATTCTTATCCAAGCTGGCTGATAAGGCGATTCCCTTTTTTCAGATCATGAAGAAGGCCAGTCCCTTTCAATGGACCCCGGAGTGCCAAACTGCTTTCGAAGATTTCAAGGTATATCTCTCCTCCCCGCTCGTCCTCACCAAGGCAGATCCCGGGGAGAGATTATACATGTACTTGGCGGTAGCCGACCTGGCCGTAAGTGCCGTGCTGCTGAAGGAATCTGAGGGCGTTCAGCGGCCAATATACTTTGTAAGTAAGGCGCTGAACGGTCCCGAGACGAGGTACACACTGATGGAAAAGACGATCCTCGCCTTGATTGCATCCATCAAGCGCCTGGCACCGTATTTCCAAGCACACCCGGTGACTATCTAC